ACTGTTAGATTAAATATGTCATGGGATGTTGTCTCAAGTTTGATGTCAAAAGCAGTGGAATGTGGTACAAAGTAAGCAGATATAAGCCAAATCTCATTGAAAAAATCAAGAAATGTTAAAGGAATGTACAGGAATGTTCAAAACTGAAGTATATCAATTTGACTATCTTCTCTTTTCCTTGAATGACCCTGTTTTTTCTATGGAAAATTTTCAGATGCACACCATCCTGAACCCTTTTCCTGCCTCCAGCCTTTCCGTTCTCATTTTCTGTAGGACAACTAGGACATAACCTCCCAGATAACTTCCTGTCATTTTATTGTACTGACACTTGTCCTTCTTATCTGTTTGCTCAATCCCCTTTCCACTATTCGAGTTTGCATCTAATGTCACACTAAATCATGATTGTCCCATCCTTCTGGGCAGCAGCTGTATCTCTGTTAGTGTGTGGCCACTTGTTGAGGTTTAACTGGTACAGGACTCACTCTAAAGGCAGAATGGGTGATGTTTGAGTAAAATCAGATTATGGAGTCAGAGAAGTCTTCAAGGAAAGGTTTGCACATAAAGCAATTCACCTGGGTTTTGTCTCCACTATTAACTAGCTTGCAACACACGTTACATTAAGGGTCAAGTTCTGTGATATCCATTTATTTATTTCTAAGCAAATACATTGAGAGGCATTTTCTTCCTGCAGATGGATGTCTTTGCTTTACCACTTCCTGTTTATTATCTGACATTTCATTTCTTTGTAAATCTGAGTTTACAATTCATGCTGTGAGTTCAGAACTGGTTATAATACTTGAACAACATAGTGAGGATAGCTGAAAGCCAAAATTCACTGACAGTAGATCCCCTTAGCAAATTACTGATACACTATGAAAGCCTATTTCAAAGTAGTTCTTTTTATATAAAATAATTATTTTTTTTTACTTAGCTTTTCTTCTTTATTTACTAGGACAGCTCTAAGAATAAAGCCTTTATTTTTCAGGACAATCCTCTGTTTGCTATTAAAAATATTGCTAAATTGGTTTGGAGAAGACAATAATGATAATATGGAAAGTGCAATATGTTCCATTCATATTATGTTAACATATAAATCTTTTATTTTCAATGTATCTCAGAGGTTTTTGAAGCATCAAGTACTTTGGATGAGCACAGGTATGTACCTTTTCAAAAAAAAATCAGAGGCTCCTCAGAGCCTTTCATGGATGGTGTCAAAATTTAACCAGTTTTTGGTGTTGTACCTGTTGAGCCCCATTATTCTGACAGTTGATTGAAAAAAGTTGAGTAAGGTCTTATTAGTTTGAAGATAGGAGAGTTAGTGAAGCTGAATAGCTGCCTGAGCCAGAAAGAAATACTGCCAGGAAGTGAATGATTCTGTCAAAATTTTGTTGAAATATTTAGCCAAAATTCATGTCACAGATGTATTTATCATTTATTAAGTTAGCAATAGAAAAAATAGAGAAAGGAGTGAAATATGGCAGTAAGTATGGTTTGTAGTTTAAGGGGGGGGGAAAAATCACAATTTCACAGCAAAATAAGCAAAACAGATTCTAATAGACAAATTAGATTATCAAAATTGGCTGTTATAGGCAGCTTATAAGTCTAGCAGATACATATTTTTGCACAATTTTTGCATAGACTTTTAAGGTAGGACCTGAACTCTCAGTTTCAGAAAATATTTTAGAAATCTTATCATTTTCAGATTGTTGCATGTTCTAAATTATAACCCCTTATGTTATTCCCTCGGTAGTAGATTCAGTGATAAAAAAATAGCACTTGGTGCAACTTTTGCTATGATGTGCCCTACTTACATGTGTTTATTGAGGTATTATAAAGAATAGACATAGAAAACCACTGCACAATGCGACACACATTGGTTATTATTTCTGAATCCATGTGAGCACAATGAGAAGAATTGCAAATGTCTTCATTACTGTGCCATTCTTAATGAAGTTTCTTAGCATGCTATGACGTTGTACTTCCTTTAATAGAGATAATTTTCAAGCAGCAATTCGTATAACAAGTTCTCAGCTGGCAGGCTCTCCGAGCCCTGGGATTTCTGGCAGGAAAACTGGTGAAATTACGTAGGGTGCCAAGCAATCCAGAGGATATCCAAGAAAACATATAAGAAGGATACTGAGTTCTTGGAAACTTGCTTCTATTTACTCTTCCAGTTGTCTTTCTCTACTGTCAGGCTTTCTGTCATTTAATGTATAGAATGATACGACTAACTTGTCTGTTCCAAATCAGACCATTTAATTATTTTTCTCTATGAAGTTCCCAGCCTATGGAAAACTGCAAACTAGGAAAAAATGTTTAGCCAATAGTTTGTGAATTTGAAAAAGGTGGCATTTGAATGAAAAGGGAATTTGTGATAAATCTAGGCAAGTGGTATGGCGCTTATTTTTTAGGTAATACAACATTTGGGTTTAACAAATTTCAGTATTTGCTTGTACCAGGTGTATGACATCTTCCAAGCTGTGGAGTTCTGCCCCAGCTTCTCTTTTTGTTTTGCACACAGTGTCAGGCAAATATAAGGAGATCAAAGGCTGTTCAGCACACAGTATTGCTGTGAACAATGCCTCTTTTTATAAAAGTTGCCTTTTGTTTGAGGTAGATAGAAACAAAGCCAGCTGCAAGTTAATTATAACCTGAAAGGTAATCATGCTGGATTGGGATCCTAGGGTGTTAAATGACTGTCACAAGGCTGGCAGTAGGTGTACCAGGGTTGTGTGGCAGAATTACTGCAAAAGGAGCCCTGGGGAATTCTCTTGACATTTCCTGGGAATTCATGGGGAGATACATTGCCATCATGCTGTATTCTCCTGCTACATGAAATACCAGCACTGTCAGCCCTCTGTTTCCTTGCAGAAAGAGGATGAGTCGAGAGTACTCTGGGAACTCAGAGCTGACAGATGGGCCAGCAGTGCTTTTTCATTGGGCTGGATGAAGAATTCAGGTCCACATGCTTTCTGTGTGCTCTAGGAGGTCCAGCAATTACAGAGTGACTCAGAGTTTCTGAGTCAGGAGTTTGGGTTTATGCTTTTACACTTAAGTGCATAGGATATGATCGACTTTTGGAAATAATGGCACAGGGCTTTACTTCCTCAGGAAACAGGAGCACAGCAGCAGGTCTGCTGGTTCGTGTATGATATTTACATAAGTGGAGCTTCCCATTTCTGTTTTCCTGAAACAACTCCCATGAATTCATAGGACTGGCTTACATTAAACAGTAGATAATGATTAAAATAAAGAGTCAACTTGAATAAATAGGAATGAGATAAATGAATTAAATTGGAAAAGCAGCAGGAAATAATGTGCCTTGGGAAAATGACTAAAATGATCTATGGAGAGTGACATTGTTGAAGAGCTGTTGTAATTATGTAAAGTAGTCAGCAAATCCAGGGATCTGTCACATGTTTTATCAAACTGGTTAATTTGCTCTGTCATTTTTAACAACATGTTCTTCATCCTACACTGTCCATACAGGCTTGCAATAATGCATGTTTCTTTCATTTGGCAAAGATGTTTTCCTTTCCATTTAGACCAACCATTATAATCCACCTCCTTCATTGTCAAAATAGTGTTGACAGTTTAGAAACAATTAAAAGCTTGTACAAGAAACATTCATCCTACATTTTCTGAAAAGATGAGATTCCACTTAAAGATTTTCATTCTCTTTTTGATTAGCACTGCCTGTCTCAGTAAGGGTTTGTGAAATCGTTTCAGTACGATCAATACACAACTTTCAGCCAAATGTCAAACTGCAAGATATTTTAATACTATTACTGTTTATCAGAAATCAGTATTCTGAGCATTGGTTTCTCTCAGGCTTTTTCATTTCTGACATCCTTGACTTCCATTATTTATTTATTTATTTACTGTCAATTAAGTTTGTTATTAAGTTTACAGTAAATTAAAATCACAATGTCTTCCGTCTAACAAAGAGGGAATATATATTTAGAATAACAGCATGTAGAAAATACAGCATATAAATGTAAACACATTTCTGTATGTACAAATCAGGAAAGAATCCTTAATGAAAGAACTCTTCAAAACAAACCAGACTTTTGATCTTTAAAGAGATGGAAATCAGAATTACATGCTGAACTCCTTATTAAAAAGTCTGTTATTAGTGTTCCAATATCAAAAGCTCTGCAAAAATAAGAAGCGTCAAAACTGAGGTGACTTGTGCATGTTGATATATAACCTCAATCCTTGACAACCTCACTGCAAGAGCAGCTTGAGGAAAGGTGAAAAGAACAAGTCCTTCGAACTGTTAAAGACTTTCTCACCTCTTCTGTGCTCATTCCCTTTTTTCTCCCCTAGCCCCATCATCCAGTGTGCTCTCTTCACGTTGCTTCTTGTTCTGTTTTAATTTTTCAATTCGTTTTGAAAGACAACAAAAATATCCTGTCAAGGTAATGTTTCAGGAGCTGGAGAGGAGCAGTCAGCTCAGACTGGTGGTGCTCCTGCAATCCACAATACAGTCTGCCAGGGTCACATTGTAGCACACCCACTTCCAAACTTCAGGATCATTTCATTTTCCTACATAGTGATCCACCTAAGCAGTGAGCAAAACACTCTCTTCTTTCATATTCTTCTCCTCCTTTGTCCTGCTAAGAAGGACAATTTGGAAAATAAGCATTACTTTTTACAGGAGCTTTGCAGCATTTGCACATGAACCACGTCATCTAAACATTGAAGCAAAACTAGCACTGTGTGGATATAATATTTTAGAAACAAAATCTGGCTCCTATTTGGGTATTACAAAAGCAGCTGAACTCTACTCAAAATCAGTGTTTATTCTGAGTGTGCTCACCATGAAAACCTGACAATATACTTACAACCGACATCAATGCATCAGAGATACCAGATAAAAATTTACTTGTAGAGTCCCCAGACAGATCCTATAATATCACAAATCTGGGTTTCATCCGCTATCATCAGACAGTGCAGTGCTGCCAGGGTCCTCATAAACTTCCCAATCTCTTTGGCAGGAGGCTCTGGGAAAGAGGAGGGCAAGAAAAGAAGCAAGGCAGCAGCAGTGGAGGAGGGGTGCCTGCAGATCCTTCGGCTGATCTCCTCCTGAGGCATTCAAAAGACAATATTTACGTGTCTGCTTGTGACAAACTAACCTACAAGTGTGAATTCTTAGACATCACATAAATCTGATAAATAAGGGTGAGGAGGGAGGAATCTCTGCAGCACAGTTAAATACTTCAGAATCATCCGTAGGGTGATTTTGGATGTCTTTGAAGCACAAAACCCATATTTGCACTAGAAAGTGAAAGTCTCTTGCTTCCAGGAGCAGTGTTTGTACTGAACACTCCAGTGCCATTGCCAGAAGAGACGAGAGTTGTGTGTGTCATGCCAGGAAACATCTTTGGTAATTTAATGGTCATTAATAAATATCAGTACAACTTTTAAATATTTTTTGTAACTAGAAGCACTATTGCCTAGGGTTTGAAAATTGAGATTAGTATTCTCTGTGTCGTAGACTCTTTGTGTGTAGCTTTTGCATTTAATAAAAGGCAATTATATAAAAGTCTGGGCTGCCATTCTCAATTTTATACATGACCCTTACGGAAATAAGATAAAAAACCACCAAATTTTCTGTTGTGTTTCCAAGGAGAATTCATAACTGAAAGGGAAAAATAATTATCCATGGAATAAGCCAGTGCAAACAATCATAGGACCTTTCTTTATTTGAACAACACTCCACAAAGTTTCTATACAAACCTCAATTACAGTTGCTATATTCAATCTTGTTTGCTTTGCCAACACATAGAAATAGCTGTCACAGTTTATGAATGCTACACTCTGATAGAAGGTCTATATATCCATAAAAATATCCAACACATGCTGCCTAGTTCTCTTTGCACAGAAAAGGAAAATATTAATGCCAATCAGTTCTTCTGTATCACCAGAGCTGGGAGTGGATAGGTTTAGAAATGAAAGGAAGTTTCACAATCCAAGTCCGTATTCCTGGTTGCTGTCTATAGCCAGGTTATTTAAGAGGATTCATGTACTGTGATGATTGGATGACTTATTGAAATTTAAAAAGAAATGCTAAATTTTTTCAAAATATATGTTAGGGAAAATGTTTACATAAGTATACGATAAAAAAAATCTTCACCTCCAAATGGAGCTTTAAAATTTTGCTTTCCCAGGACATTTAGTGTAACTGTGTGTGAGAGAAGGAGAAAGGAAGGAAAGAGTGTATGCAGAAAGCAGTAGGGGTAGTATGAGTGGCCTTCCTTCCAAATTGGTTAAATGAAAACTACACAAATACACAGGAGTTAGGAGTATGACTCCGAGTGTGGAAAGGAAGTTTTAGCTTAATGTCTGGCAGGAGACTGCTTAGGAAGTGGTTAGAGGGGAGGAGCTGTAGGCAGCAGTTGTACACTAATAAATTACTGATGAATATTTCTGATAATAAAACAAAACTAATTACTGGTTTGTCATGGCAACTGTAAAATGTAGTTTTTGCTTGATGATGCAAACAAGGCTTGACATTGATGAAAATTAATTTAGACTGAAGGGGACAATGTTTTGAATTATTCAAAATAAAACAGAGCTGGTTTAAGTTGCAGTATTTGTAAGTGAGATACAAACAGGTGTCTTATCAACATGAACATCAAGCCAGGTGATGCAAAGGTGGATTACAGTCTTTTAGCTCCGTCTTCCAAAGTCCCATATATGGGAATATATTCGCAGCTATATGTATGCTCATATGTGATTATATACTCAGTTATGATTAGTCATCTTGAGAGTTCAAGGGCTGATCATCTTAGAGGAATGATTATTCTTCAACTCCCAGTGCTCATATTCTGAATGACCTCTAAGCAAAGCAGAAAATTAATGGCAGCTCCTTTTTCTTTTGAAAATAACATGTTTTCCCAGTCCTGTGGAAATATAATCCACTGGACAATTTCTTTAATTTCTTCTAATCTTTACTGCTTTATAAGGGACAAATCAAGGAAAGGAAAGGTTAATGGGACTACATTACTCTAGTTCACATCAACATAAGCTTGGAGTGACTCCTGACTTCCTAGTGAGGTTGCTCTAAATGTACAGTGATACAAATGAGAAAATAAATTGACTCATAAGGTTGTATGTCCTAAAAATTATTTTAATATCCCAAAGCTTTTCTCCACATTGCCCTGAAATTTAAAATGCAATTCAGAGGAATAATTGTGAATGTTAAAATAGCTGATTCTAGGCTTTCCTTGAAGGGTATTTAATCTCAGTTTGGAAATAATTATTTTTCATTTAGTTTTGTATTGCTACTTTGTTTTAGAATTGCAAATCCAGTCCATGTTAGTTCAATTTCAGCAATCAGACACTAAGAAATACTGCCTGTCAGACTTCAGTGACCACTTTGCAGGAAACTACTAAGAGGTTCTGTGTGTCTGATTCCTAAATTTCTCTGAGACTAAGCAGTCAGTTCAACTGATAGTAGTAAAGAACAGAAAATATTTAAACATTGTAGTGGGGTTTGCCCAATTAAAATTGAAACCACTGTGTTCATTGCATACTTTTTGGAGGTATATAGAAAACATTGTTTTTTCATATGAAAACAACTTGGTGCTTTCTTTTAATGAAAAATGTCTTTGTGTGATGGGTAAGAGCTGGTTATTTTGATTGTGGCAGTTAAAGTTAGAGGATCTGGTGTATTGTAGGATCTATTTGTGTTTGAAAAGGAAAATTTGACATTTAATGATAATAAAAGAACTTCTGGATTATTTAGCACTTATTGCAATAATCAGATGAAAAGTAATGACAGGACAGCTGTTAGAATAAAGTGTGGGCTTCCTATTTCTGATTTGGAGCAGGATCTAAATGTAGAGGCAGTTAATAATTATAATCATGGGAAATTAAACCAGCACTTAAATATTTTAAAAGCTTGTTAGAAAATGTTTTTAATATTCTGTTGCTTCTATAGAGGCATAGGAGTCTCCTAGGGAGAAGGGGGAGGGAGGATGTGGGGGTCAATAGATGACATATTTGTTTCTCAGGAGGTTAAACTGCTTAATCGGTTTTAATCATAACTTGGAAGACTTGTCTTTCCACATCTGAAAACTGAACTCAGAAATGTGTAACTGTACCTTCTCTGCACTTCAGACAAAAGCAGAGATGACAGGTTTGACCACCTTCCACATCTTGGAGAAGCACCAGGAGGATTCAGGAAGCTTTTTTTTTTTTGGTTAGAAGTGTTAAGTCGGTTGTATGTTGCAGGCACAACTGTGCAGGAAGTTATTGCAGACACCAGTCATAGGGTGATCCATCACTGCAGGGAGCTACTGGAGAAACACGGAAGGAAGAAATGGTCTCTCACTACAGCCTAGATTACTGTCAGAAAGTTTAATATAACCACACTATCAGTCACAACTGTTCCTAGTGTTTCTCAGATCTTTGTTGCACAATTTTGCCTATATTATTTTGTAAGTAAAGATCCTACAGAAAAACTCAGACTAGTCAAATGAAGCTGTGACTTTCCAGGCATACCTGGATGGATATGAAGTAACCCTTCTCCCCTAAGAGAACACTATAAAACATTTCATGAAACAAAATTCAGAACTTGTGGACACATTCCTATAGTAATATAAATGAATTTAAAATTATAATTTATTTAAATTACTACAGAAATTTATGCTCCTAACAAAACTGAAAGATTGTTCTCATTTTTAGCTATCACAGTTCTGTTTCTTTCTTTTTATTTTTAAATTTCCAATCATTTTTCATTACTGTAAGATAAAATATTTGAAAGCTGAGCAGTGTTTGGTAATTTTTGCTTCTTTTGTTTTATCTTTTACAAGATGATAATTAGATGTAGTTCGAATATCTTTGGAAAATATAATAAGTAGGAAACAGCACTTGTATCATTTATGTAGCAGCCCTAATACAGATGTTCTGCTCTTATCTGGACACTTTTCTCTTAGAAACTTAATATGCTTCGCAGACATACATAAACTGCTTAAATAGTGTCTAAGATGAAGGTGCTTTATAGAAGTAAAATCTGTTCTTGTAAGAATCAATACTGTTTTGGTACTTTTTTGGTACTCTTTTAGATTAACTGCATTTTCATTAACACATACTTGGGTAGTGATTTAAAAGAAGTATTCATTTAGGATGAAATAAAGCTCTGTCGAGAAGACTAATACAGCCTTAGGAAGCAATTTAAGTCAAGGTCTTAATGGGACCTTACTGGACCCTAACTGCTGCATAAACTCTATGCTACCTTTCTTCTGAGGCACTTTTCCACTTTGAAAACCTACCATAATAAGCTAGAGTTTTTAAATCAATTTTGAAATTGAAGAGAGTTTAAAATTAAAATTGTATGTCTCTATTTCTATTTTTCTTTTGTGTTTAAAATTAAAGAAGAGGAGAAAGACCTGGAGTGTGGAAAATCACTGTTTATACAAAATTGCTCTAATGAATTTTTTGCAAGGACAATCATAGGTGTATCAAGTACAACATTTTTAATACCTGAGCTGTTAAAATGTTCTTATTATTTTGGAATCAGCTTTAGTATCTTGGGACCTGCATTAAGACTTAAGCAATAGAATTTGACTGCTGTCTGTTTCCAGTCTTCCCAAAAAAGGCGTTTTGGGTCTGCTGGAACTCTGTTGCTCCTTATTGCTTTAGGCTGTACAACCTCTTAAAGCCCACGATAAGAAGCACTGTTCTGAAAGACCACCATAGGTTTTGGGTTTCCTTAAACTAAGACACTCACTTCCCCAGCTCTGCTCTCCTCAGGTCATGAATTAATCTCTCACTTGCTGTCTGGGGTATTTTAGACATATCTACAAGTCTTCTTGGTCGTGCTTTCCTCCCTGACTTCTCTTCAATATAGAGATCTAGATTTAAAGGTGGATCAGTGCAGAAGCACCTTCCCTCCTTATCTTCTCAAACGCCCTCCACTTCATAATATACCTCTGCACATGTGGGATGCCCACCTCCACGCTGCCTGTGAGAGCAGTCCCTGGTAAGTTCCCTGTATGGAGCTTGGGATTTATGTTACCTCGTTGCAAAGCAGGGGAAAATTTATGCTAGCCCATACCTTGTGGTCAAGTCTCAGCCCCATTGTACCATCACTATAGGCTAAAGTCCATAGGAAAAATCCCTGGGTCCCTGCTGA